TAGAAGTCAAGACTTAGAACTTCAGGAAATATTTACTGATAGTGTTTTTTAAAGTATAATCACAGTGGTTATTACAGTAGTAACTACATAAGTTTGTGCCAGTCTATATACCACATCTAGGAGCCCTGGTGGCACAGTGGTTAAGAACTCAACTTCTAACCAAAAGGTCAGCAGGTCAAATCCATCAGCCGCTCCTTTGAAAACCTATGGGGCAGTTCTACTCTGTGCTATAGGCTGGCTATGAGTTGGAATCAACTTGACAGCAGTGGATTACACCACATCTATATTAAATACTACTTTAAGAAAATCAGTGTCTTTTGTTTAGTGTCTTTTTTTTAGCAAACATTCCTCACTGACAACTCCAAACTGAATTTTCATGTTAGATTTTTTTTTTGAGCACCTGCAATGTATGCACATATTTCTCTTTACTAAAAGATTTATGTTTCATTGATATTTCTGGTCAAATAATTTACTGTAATCACTTCTGAACAGATTCAAGAACAAGTATGAAATAAAATATATATTCTTGATATAATATATAGATATTGCACTGTATAGTTTACAAAATTAGAGGTCTACAGAAATTAGCACTGTAACAGACCTTAAGATAAAAAAATCAAAGTGAGGACAAATCAGTATTGAATTACCACTAGTATTAATTTCCTGATTATTGAAGCTCATTAGCGCTCATAAATCACTTCTATATGGCTGTAATAATTGAGAACAAGGAAAATAAAATTTCTTGGTTATTTTTTACTCAAGTGGACTCAAATCACAGAAGATACATATCTCCTCTTCTGTGGATTTCTCAGGATATTTCTACTAACTATCTCAAATAATTTAGTGCCCATAAAAGACTGGTAGTTCCCAAGATCCAGTACCAAAAACAGTTTCTAAAACAAAGTTGTAAGAGTAAGGAACATGTATGATGGCATGGATCAGATTCATGGGTTGATCAGGTTCATATATGGACTACGAAACACTCAACTACCAAGCTAAACTCTGTCGATCACTTTGCAAAGGCCATTGTAGAACTGTGATCTTGGAACCCATTCATCATTTTCAGGACTTCCTACTTCTAAAACTAATAATAATGCATTCAACAGAAGTTATTTAACAGGATTTTATCTAAATAAAGAATTCACAAAGCTTCAATTAAATACTAATTTAAGTTGCTAACTTTCATGACTGGTGATATCAAGCAATTTTTGGGGTGGACTGTCTAAAAAAATATTTAAAAGGAAAAATTTAACTCAAGTACTGATTCCAGTTTTTGGTCAATTCAAGCTGCCCTCCCACCATCATAAGCCTGCCTATTCCTGAACACATGGCTCTTGCTTCACTCTATTATGTGCCATGGAGTAGATTCCAACTTGTAGCAACCCTACAGGACACAGCAGAACACCCCATAGGGTTTCCCAGGCTGTAGTCTTTACAGGAGCAGACTGCCAGGTATTTTCTATATGGAGCCGATGATGGGTTCAGAGCCACTGCTGGGTTTGAACGGCTGACTTTTCACTTAGCAGCCAAGCACTTAAACCAGAATCATCAAGGCTCCTTAATCAAAACCAAAACAAACCCATTGCAGTCAAGTGGATTCCAACTCATAGCTACCCTATAGGGCAGCGCAGAGCTGCCCCATAAGGTTTCCAAGGCTGTAATCATTATGGAAGCCAACTGCCACATCTTTCTCCGGAGGACCGGCTGGTGGGTTCGAACTGTCAACCTTCTGGTTAGCAGCTGAGCACTTAACCACTGTGCCACCAGGGCTCCTTAAACTTTCTATATTCCTCTTTTCTCTGCAACTTCTCTAAGTCCATTTCAGTATTAACCTATACACTCCCATGTTTTCTTTACTTCTTTTCCTACATTGGAAACCCAGGTGGCGTAATGGTTTAAGTGCTACGGCTGCTCACCAAAGGGTTGGCAGTTCGAATCCACCAGGTGCTCCTTGAAAACTATGGGGCAAGTTCTACCCTGTCCTATAGGGTCGCTATGAGTAGGAATCGACTCAACAGCAACGGGTTTGGTTTTTTGCCCTACATCATACTCTCCAGTAACACTCCTATTCCTCAACATTTCTACTTGTCCTATTACAACAACGAGACTGTCCATAAAGACTGGACACTTTTTTAATGTGACAGGTCTGGTAAATAACACTGCTGGTAAGATTTGAAAAAAAATACAAAAAAGGACAATCTCAAAATGACAACTGCTTAGCAACTTTTGAGTATGTTTGTATTAAGGAACTCTGTTGGCAAAATGGTTAAGCACTCAGATGCTAACCAAAACGTCAGTTCGAACCCACCGCTGACAGCTCCACAGGAGAAAGACTTGGCAATATGCTCCCATAAAGACTACTGCCTAGAAAATCCTATGGGGTAGTTACGCTCTCATAGAGCGCTGCTATGAGTTAAAATTGACTCGATGGCAGACAGCATGTTTGTGTAACTACTGATACATTTACATCTCTCCAGTTGAGTTCACTAATTTGCATGTCAGAACTATTACTTGAACTGATCAACTTTTTAAACTTCTGGAAAACTCATATGCATATCTGGGTTACAATTTTAAACAAGTAACATAACAAGTATTTAAATGAAAAAACAAATATAAAAGGATTAAACATAAAAATGGAAAACTCAAAATTATAAACATTATTTCTTTAAACCCCATTTTACATGGGCTTTCTTTTTGTGCAAAGCTACCAACATAAAATAAGTTAAATTTTGTTGTAGTCCCAAAATAAGAGTCATATTCACTTGTACGATTTTACATGGTTCTTTTATTTTTAGGTATTTATTAGTAAATATAAACGTGGTTTGCATGACAAAGGCTGCTGCTCATGCTATTATCTCTAACAAAAATAATGCTATCACTAGAGATATTTTCACAAGACTATACCACAAAAAAATTGTGCAACCAAAAAACTTGCTTTTTATCTAAGCCGGCATGAGTCCAAACAAACGCATATGCCATTAAATAAAAATTTAACTGAGTAGAAAAATAATCAATTTTTATTGGTTGCTAATGTTGTGGGGGGTCCCTGGTAGCAAAGTGGTTAAAGTTTGGCTGTTCAACAAAAGGTCGGCAGTTCAAACCCACCAGCAGCTACTTGGAAACCCTATGGGACAGTTCTACTGTTTACAGGGTCACTGAGTCCGAATGGCAACGGTTTGTGTTTCGTTTTATTTTTTCTCTTTTTTTGGTAATGTTTGGTAATATATAACACCTGTCCATTTCCTATCCCTTCATGAAGAAAGAAAACTAAAATATTAAAAATATCTGGAATAATACACAACCACCACTATGAGTGGTTACTTAAGGGCACAGATTTAAGGCTGAAGAAGGGAACTTGATAGAGTGTAATAAAGGGCTTTTTACACTATATACTCCATTAAGTGTAAAGGTAAATAATACTTTTGTAGTTTCAAAAATTATAAATGCATTTTCTAGTTACCTTATCAGTTTTATAATTAACTCTCCACTCGTAATACTAAATAGAATCCACACACTGCTGTGAAAAGATATACTTTCATTTTTTATAAGATACTGGAGAATAGAAAATAAATTTGATGTCAACGTCTCCGTTTAAGAAAAAATTGAGTTCAACACAAAGTTTATCAAAAAAAGTCATTTTGCTTTTAATTAAAAATTTGTCCTAAAACATTCCACTATTACTTTAAGTATACAACCTAAAAAACCATTTTTAACCATCAAAGTAACACAGAAGTCATCAAAACTCTACTGATAATTAGAAGTTAACGGGCACGGTCAAAAAGATTAAAGAACGATTTTATTCTGACATCATGTATTCTCAGAATGATAAGCAACCCCTCCAAATATTGCCCAAAAGTTGTTGCAAATACCAAGTTACAGTTGTGATGAAGTTATCAAAGACCGTATAAACGGGAGTAAATGCACAAAGGTGGAAGGCATTCTGAGAACCACCAGTGGAGAAATGTACTGCAGCAGAAACAAGCGACAGAATGTTAACAGGTCTAGAGTACTTTTAGAGAATGGCAACAACGGAAAAAACTAAAAGAACGTTTGAAAAGTATGAGGAACAGTATCCAATGGGATCATCACGTCTGCGCGATCACGGCTCCGGACTTCCAGTGAGTGGGACGCGAGTGGAACTATCACGGAGCGGGGGAGAAGCAGCCCGGACTGAGGGGAGAGTGAGCTCCTGCAGGTGGCGTAGCGCCCGCAGTGGGTGGGGAGAACCGTGTTGCCTGAATGGGGTAACTGTACTCCCTCCAAGGCTAGAGGAAACTGACACAGCACGTCTCCCGGCACCAAGAGGCACTCGCCCTCGGCCCCTCCCTAACGACTTGCCTTGTGAGAGTTGCGGGTCTCAAGCCCCCGGAACCCAAGGCTCCGCCATCCAGGACAACTGCTTCTGCCAACAAGGTCCCGCGAGATTCGAAATCTCGCGATACAAAACCAGTAACATCTCGCGAGTTTCTTCTAAAAGCAACATGGCGGTTGTGAAAATCAGTAGTTAGGATCTTCCAAATGTCTTCATTTACGTGCTGGATAATGTGTAACATGAAAAGTACAGGCAGTCTTTTTTGCCTGATATTTATTATCCTATTCCCCTAATGGAGAAGAACTGCAGCAAAAAACCCTAAAACTTCCGAGTGCCCATGGTTATACCAAACATAAAGTACATCCTTTCTCCTCTGCCGGCCTCCTTGCCTGTCACGTGGAAACTTACTATCGGCGTACTAGTCACGTGGGCCGCGAGTGAGCAAGCGCGCGCCCGTCACCCTCCAAAGAACCCTCCCCGCCCCTTTTCGCCCGCGCACACGTGCGCGCGCACCCCCGCCCCACGTGGGGGCTTCGCTGTCGCCACCGTCGCCTCCAGTCCACCCCCAACCCCCCGCGCTAGGCTCTAAATCCGGGTCCCAGAGTCGATCGACGCTTGGTATCCCTTCCCCCTCCACTCTCCCGCCTCTGCCTCTGGCCCCCGCCACGTGCCCAGAGCGCCTGCTCACCTTTCGTGCCGGGTTGGGCGCCGCGAGCCACTCGGGGAGCTGCTGCCGCCGTGGCCGCTCGCCGCCCCAGCCACCGCACTTGCTCGAGTGGCCGCTGCCGCAGGAAGCTCGACAGCGGCGCCGCGGCCCTTCCAGGTGGGTCCCCGCCTCCCGCTCCTGCCACTTCCCGCAGCACCAGCGGCTCCTTCCGGTCCCCTCCTTTCTCCTCGCTGGGACAGGCGGGCTGCGGCGGCTGCAGGCGCGCTCACTACACCGCCTGCTGGTAACCGCGGCCCGTGCAGCGCCCGGGGCCGCAGCTCGGCCCCGGGCTAGGGTAGATCTTCTGAGTGCAGGACCCCGTTCATCCCCTGCGTCAGCCGAGCTGGGCCCTACCCACGGAGAAAATGCGTCTCCGTAGTTCCGCTGTTGGAAGTCCGCTTCATCCAGCCCTTTGTGACCTCTCAAGAGGATTGTAAACCTTAGCTCCCTTAGTAGTGTGCTCGCAAGCTAGGAAAATATCTGTGTATGCTCCTGCCTACTTCATCTCCAACTACCTGGGCCCCTTGCTTACCCTTTGGCTTTCTGGCTGCTTCTGAAATAATGCAGTCTCGATCAACTTCAGGCTTTTGCGTTTGCTGGTCCCTCTGACTAGAACACTTAAAGTTTTTTTTTTTTTTTTTTGTGCTTTAAGTGAAAGTTTATAGTTCAAGTTAAGTTTCTCATACAAACATTTATATACAGTGTTATGTGACCCTAGTTGCACTTCCTACAATGTGACAGCACACTCCTCTTTTCCACCCCAGATTTCCCGTGTCCATTCAACCAGCTCCTGTCCCTTTCTGCCTTCTCATCTCACCTCTGCACACGAGGCGCCCATTTAGTCTCGTGTATCTATCTGAGCTAAGAAGCACATTCCTCAGGAGTATCATTTCATGTCTTAGAGTCCAGTCTGTCTGAAGTTGGCTTCGGAAATGGTTTTAGTTTTGGGCTTACAGAGTCCGGAGGCGATGTTTTCCCATATTCCTCCAGTCTCAGTCAGACCGTTAAGTCTGGTCTTCTTACTTGAATTTGAGTTCTGCACCCAACTTTTCTTCTGCTTTTTCAGGGCAATCATTGATGGTAGCCAGGCAGCATATAGTGCTTCTGGTCTCAGGCTGATGGAGTCTCTGGTTTATGTGGCCCTTTCTGTCTCTTAGGCTAATATTTTCCTTTTGTCTTTGGTAGTCTTCGTTCTCCTTTTCTCCAGGTGGGTTGGGACCAGTTCTATCTTAAATGGCTGCTCACTAGCTTTTAGGATCCCAGTTGCCACTCACCAAACTGGGATGCAGAACTTTTTCTTAATAAACTTTGTTATGCCAGTTGACCTAAATGTCCCCTAAAACCATGGTCCCCAGACCCCCGCCCGTGCTGCTCTGTCCCTCGAAGCATTTGGTTTTATTCAGGAAACATCTTAGCTTTCGGTTTACTCCAGTTGTGCTGACTCCCACTGTATTGTGTATTGTCCTTCCCTTCACATAACATAATTCTTGTCTACTATCTAGTTAGTGAATACCCGTCTCCCTCCCTCTGCATCCTTGTCACCATCAAAGAATGTTTTCTTCTGTGTTTAAACCATTTCTTGATTTCGTATAATAATGGTCTCATACGATAATTTGTCCTTTTGTGACTGATTAATTTCACTCAGCATAATGCTTTCCAGATTCATCCATGTTATGAGATGTTTCCCAGATTCATTGTTGTTCTATATTGTTTTGTAGTATTCCACTGTGTGAATATACCATAATTTGTTTATCCATTCGTCCATTGACCGGCACCTAGGTTGTTTCCATCTTTTTGCTATCGTGAACAGCGCTGCAGTGAACATGGGTGTGCATATATCTTATTCGTGTGATAGCTCGTATTTCTCTAGGATACATTCCAAGGAGTGGGATTGCTGGATCGTATTGTACTTCTATTTCTAGCCTTTTAAGGAAGCGCCAAATCGATTTCCAAAGTGGTTGTACCATTTTACCTTCCCACCAACAGTGTATAAGTGTTCCAGTCTCTCCACAACCTCTCCAACATTCATTAGTTTGTGTTTTTTGGATTAATGCTAGCCTTGTTGGGGTAAGATGGTAGCTCATTGTAGTTTTGATTTGCATTTCTCTAATGGCTAATGATCCTGAGCATTTCCTCATAGATCTGGTAGCCACCTGAATGTCTTCTTTGTTGAAGTGTCTGTTCATATCCTTTGCCCATTATTTTATTTTATTCTGCTTTAAATGAAAGTTTACAGTTCAAGTTACTTTCTTATACAAAACTTTATACACACACTTTTATGTGACCCTAGTTGCACTCCCTATACTGTGACAGCACACTTCTCCTTTCTACCTCAGATTTCCCATCTGTTCGACCAGCTCCTGTCCCTTTCAGCCTTGTCATCTCGCCTCCGGACAGGAGCTGCCCATTTAGAATCACGTATCTACTTGAGCTAAGAAGCACACCCTTCATGAGTATCATTTTATGTCTTATACTCCACTCTAATCTTTGTCTGAAGAGTTCGCTTCAGGAATGGTTTTAGTTTTGTACTTTGCCAATTTTTTAATTGGGTTATTTGTCTTTTTGTTATTGAAGTTTTGCACTATCCTGTAGATTTTAGAGATTAGACCCTGATCAGATTTGACGTAGCCAAAATTTTTTTCCTAGTCTATAGGTTGTCTTTCTTCTCTTTTGGTGAACTCTTTTGAAGAGCGTAAGTGTTTGATTTTTAGGAGTACCCAGTTATCTAGTTTCTCTTCTGGTGTTTGTGGATTGTTAGTAATGTTTTCTATTCTGTTTATGCCATGTATTAGGGCTCCTAGTGTTGTCTCTATTTTTTCTTCCATGATCTTTAACATTTTAGATTTTATATTTAGGTCTTTGATCCATTTTGAGTTTGTTTTTATGCATGGTGGGAGGTATGGGTCTTGTTTCAGTTTTCTACAGATTGATATCCAGTTATGCTAGCACCATTAGTTAAAGAGACTGTCTTTTCCCCAGTTAACGGACATTGGGCTTTTGTCAAATACCAGCTGCTCATAGGTGGATGGATTTACATCTGGATTTAATTCTGTTCCACTGGTCTATGTATCTGTTGTTGTACCAGTACCAGGCTGTTTTGACTACCAATGCAGTATAATAGGTTCTAAAATCAGGTAGTGTGGGGCCTCCCACTTTATTCTTCTTCTTGAATACTGCTTTACTTATCTGGGGCCTCTTCCCTTTCCATATGAAGTTGGTGATTTTTTTCTCCCTCTCATTAAAAAATGCCTTTGGAATGTCGATTGGGATTGCATTATATCTATAGATCACTTTGGGTAGAATTGACATTTTCACAATGTTGAGTCTTCCTATCCATGAGCAAGGTATGTTTTTCCATTTACGTAGGTCTCTTTTGGTTTCTTGCAGTAGTGTCTTGTAGTTTTCTTTGTATAGGTCTTTAACATCTCTGGTTAGATTTATTCCTAAGTATTTTATCTTCTTGGGGGCTATTGTAAATGTTATTGATTTGGTGATTTCTTCTTCAAAGTTCTTTTTGTTGGTGTAGAGGAATCCAACTGATTTTTGTATGTTTATCTTGTATCCTGAAACTTTGCTGAAATCTTTGATTAGTTCCAGTAGTTTTCTTGTGGATTCTTTCTGGTTTTCTGTGTATAAGATCATATCATCTGCACAGATACTTTTTCTTCTTCCTTACCAGTTTGGATGCCCTTTCTTTCTTTTTCCAGCCTAATTGCTATGGGTAGGAGCTCCAGCACAGTGTTGAATAAGACTGGTGATAAAGGGCAATGCTTTCAGACTCTCTCCATTTAGGATGATGTTGGCTGTTGGCTTTGTATAAATGTCCTTAATTATGTTGAGGAATTTCCCTTCTACTCCTACTTTGTTAAGAGTTTTTATCACGAATGGATGTTGGACTTTGTCAAATGCCTTTTCTGCATCAGTTGAAAAGATTATGTGGTTCTCGTCTTTAATTTATGTGATGGATTATATTGATTGTTTTTCTAATGTTGAACCATCTCTGCATACCTGGTATAAATCCCCCTTGATCATGGTGAATTATTTTTTTGATATGTTGCTGAATTCTGTTGGCTAGAATTTTGTTGAGGATTTTTGCATCAGTGTTCATGAGGGATATTGGTCTGTAATTTTCTTTTTTTGTGGTGTCTTTACCTAGTTTTGATATCAGGGTTATGCTGGTTTCATGGAATGAGTTTGGGAGTATTCCATCCTTTTCTGTGTTCCGAAATACCTTTAGTAGTAACGGTGTTAACTCTTCTCGGAAAGTTTGGTAGAATTCTCCAGTGAAGGCATCTGGGCCGGGTCTTTTTTTTTGTTGGGAGTTTTTAATTACGTTTTCAATCTCTTCTTTTGTTATGAGTTTATTTAGTTGTTCTACCTCTGTTTGTGTTAGTTTAGATAGGTAGTGAGTTTCTAGAAATTTGTCCATTTCCTCTAGGTTTTCAAATTTGTTAGAGTACAGTGTTTCATATTATTCTGTTATGATTCTTTTAATTTCAGTTGGGTCTGTTGTGATGTCACTCGTCTGATTTCTTATATGGGTTATTGGCTTCCTCTCCTGTTTTTCTTTTCTCAGTTTGGCCAGTAGTTTATCGATTTTGTTGATCTTTTCAAAGAACCAGCTTTTGATCTTGTTAACTCTTTCAATTGTTTTTTTATTTTCTATTTCATTTAATTCTGCTCTAATTTTTATTATTTGCTTTCTTCTGGTGCCCGAGAGCTTCTTTTGGTGTTCTTTCTATTTGTTCCAGTTTTCATTTTGGCCCTTTTTTCTTTTTGGATGTGTGCATTTATTGCTGTAAATTGACTTCTGAGCACTCCTTTTGTTGTGTCCCAGAGGTTCTGGTAGGATGTGTTTTCATTCTCATTTGATTCTGTGAATTTCTTTATTCCATCCTTAATTTCTTCTGTAACCCAGTAGTTTTTGAGCAAGGTGTTGTTCAGTTTCCATGTGTTTGATTTGTTTTCGTTGCTTTTTCTGTTACTGATTTTTACTTTTATGGCTTTATGGTCAGAAAAGATACTTTGTAATATTTCAATGCTTTGGATTCTGTTAAGGCTTGCTTTGTGGCCTAATATGTGGTCTATTCTGGAGAATGTTCCATGGGCGTTGGAAAAGAAAGTATAATGGGCTGCTGTTGGGTGGAGTG